GTTACAGCTGCATGTATTCCACCATATGCAAAGATAAAAGCTCTAATTAAAGTGAAAATAGAATTTAATGTAGCTAGCAAGCTATAAACAATTAAGTAATATTTTGTATCGTGGAAACCGTAATTATCGTAAAAGAGTTGTAATTTTCCAAGACTGGACGTGTCGGTTGAATTAGTTGCTGTGGCATTAGCGTGCGTCACCCAGTATGACAGCCATAAATCCGTAATGTTTTTCGAGCTTTGCATCAGAATCATAGATAGAAATATCGAAATCGCCAAGTATCGTCCTATGGCTTTAATGTAACATGTATATACCGAGAAATGTACTGTTCCTTTTTCGGTCACTTCTTTGTCAAGTAATGAATCTGTCTCGCCTTTTTCCAACTGATTAAATTCGTTCGGTTGTTCCTTTATAGACGTTATGTCTATGTCGGATTCGATGGAATCTGACAACAAAAGATAGTCTTCCAAATCGGGCAATACGTCACTCGGTTTTCCTTGATTAATAATTTTTCCTTTTGACATTTCGATAACTAAATCTGCATAAATCAAATACTGAGTCTGATGCGTGCATAGTATTCTGGTTTTATTTCGTAACAAACCCAGAATTACATGCTGAAAAACATGTCTGGCAATTTTAACATCCAATGTTGCTAATATATCGTCTAGCAAATAGATATCTTTATCTGCATATATAGCACGAGCCAGGGAAATTCTTGTTTTTTGGCCGCCGCTTAAAGTGTTCCCGGCTTCGCCAACAGCTGTAAGGTCTTTGTTAGGCAGTAAATTCAAATCGGATGTGAGCGCACAGGCATTTAAAATGTTCCTGTTGTAATAGTAAATAAAATGTCAAATTATAGTGTATGTGACATAAACAAATTTATCGTTGGCATTAATTTTAAACAACGATTAATATTTACTTGTATTTGTTATGATCGTATGGTTTTCCAAACAAAATATTATCTCGGATTGTACCACGTTGTAGCCAAGGATTTTGTTTTACATATCCAAAACCTTTGTGATCATCATTAACTGCTATTATTCCACTAGTTTTTGTAATTTCTGCCAGAATACCATCTAAGAGTAAAGTTTTTCCACTTCCAATCTTACCCATAACGCCAATCAATTGTCCCTATACAAAATATGTGAATATAAAACAATACATGTATATTTTGAAAAGTTTGAATAAAATTTATTCTTACCTTTTGTATAGATAAATTAATATTATATAAGGTGAAAGAATCATTATCTTCGAATGTAACGCTTTTTTTAATGTCGGTACTTGAAGATGGAGTCGCAATCTTTAGATTTACATTAATGTCAATATCGTTATTTCTTGGATGATTTACAGTAAATGTTACATTTTGCAACAATAAATCAACATCAGGAGTAATATCTGTATAATACAATGATGCGTCCATATCTTGTAACTAAAATAATAACGTAGAAATTAAGTATCTCTAAATGTAGTAATACGTTATTTTATAATATTTTATAATATATTATAGTCTTAATAATATACTATACAATATTTTATAATATATTATAATCTTAATAATATACTATACAATATTTTATAATATATTATAATCTTAATAATATACTATAGTCTAAATATATATTATAGTCTCTTAATACATACATTCAGCATCCTTTGAATTCTCTTAAGAGATACCCATGCCTCTGTAAGACCATTTAGAACCCATGGAAACGCATTTAAAGGACTTATTAGCATGTTCAACAATGCCATACTAGTAAAAACCGTTTTGGCATCTAACTCATTTCCGAGCAACACATACGTTGCAAACGTTAATATTGCGATAATGACAGGTGTAGTTGCCCAGAAATAAACACAAAGTGCATCCAAATATTTTCTACCTCGTAAGTATTTCACTTCATTCTCTCTTATTTCTACATAAAAAAAAAGAAATATTTAGATGCAGACACTAAAAAAGCAAGTATTTATTTATATAAATGCATACTAACTGAAGATATTTCGTAAGAAGTGTTCCTCCCATACGTTTACTTTAATTGTAGTTATGCCGCGCAGTATTTCTCCCATCAACCTCACTCTTTGATCTTTATATTCCATGAGTTTAGTACTAATTTTACCAATTTTATTTGCTATTACTTTATTAATTGGTATAAGTAGTATTGAAAACGCAACACCGGCTAAAAACGAAGCTCCTATTTGCTTATGCAGAAGATACAATGTCACAAATAACTAAAAAAAAAATATTTTTAGTTTTTTCTACTAAAAAAAAGAAATCGGATTTAAATTACCATCATATAATTACCTGTAACGGTATACTCCAAAATGTATGAAAACTAGGGCAACTATTGACCAATCTGTCGCAATCGGTGCTCATAAAATTAACAATTTCACCAAAATTAAAATTATAATGTAAATCGATATTAGAAGAATGCAATGTTTTTCGGTAGACTAAAGTAATAATTGCAGAGCGGAACTTCAAGCCCACAACAGACATCCAAAATGTAAAGTGAGTATTACAAAAGGCACCTAAAACATTATTATTATTATTCACATGGTAAATATTAAAAAAATTTTAAAAAGTTTAATTTTGTACCAATTATAGCACTCAATATTATAAGAGACGCATATAGATATCCGTGCGAGATAGGCTCATTCTTATCTTCAATAAAACCTATCAATTTATTTAATAATATCGGTCCCATAAAAGAGCTGCAATCTGCGATAAACTTCAGTATTCCAACTGCATAAAATTCCCAACCGAAACATTTGTGCAGCAGGTAGAACAGTGCCACTTTCTTTGTAACTATTTTGACATTTGAGCGAAGCGGGACTTCTAAGTTATTTTCGATTCCGTTGTTCACAATTTTTGGCTGTAACATTTCACAGGATTATCAAAATTACTATAAAATTAAACAAAATTACTATAAAATATAACTGACATATTTTCATATGTAATGAAAATATGTCAATTATATTATGAATAAACAATGTAAAATCTGCAAAATGCCTTCTTGTTTACCATGTTATGTAAACATTGGTCAATTTTATGACTGATTGTATTGGTGTTGATCTGATCAGGTAAATCAAATAAATCATCGGAATTATTTATTAACCCTTTCACGCCTTTTTCCATTAACGGTGTTACCCAATGAAAGAGAAGTTTAGACATTACAGTTATATCTTCCATAGCTGTACCAAGGTAGCTTGGATCATGTTCCTCCGGAAATTGTACGTATGAAGAAGTAGGACTACTCAGTAGTGGAGTGCGTTCTCCTATCTACAAACATATTCATTCACTAATCTGTGATATCTCTACATGTTTGCTAATCCAACAATTTTATATATTATAGGCAATTATAAATCAGTTTTACAACTTGAGTATTTCCGGATAATCAAAAAAGCAGATTGACGAAAACACTAGATAATTATTATCTATATGATAACTTACTGTGACATTTCGCTGCAATGATGCTCTCGTGTGATCCCGTCTAGCAGGACCAGGTATCAATGTCATAGTATACAATATCAAAAGAATAACTACGGTGATACTGAATCCCAATGATAAATTTGGCAGTACATCGTCTTTAGGTTTATTATTGATGTGGCTTCGTAATAATAGTACAGAAACAACAATCAAAAGACATATTAACGCTCGCATAGATACTGGTCCACGTGGGTTAGAATTGCGTCCATGTTTCAAGCTTAAAAGAAAACAAAGATGCACAACCCATGCCAAACCTTCGGTTCCTGCTACAAGATAATCTATTGGTTTAGCAGAAGTAAATTTATCCTTAATATTCAACTCATAATTATTGGTATATAATATAGCAGGGGGTGTAGTAGTATGCTGAACACCGATTTTTGATGAAAAAATTGATTCAACAAATTTAAGAGTATGATTTAATCCATCATGTATCTTGCTTATAATATCTGTTTCATTCTCTAATGACGAATTTAAGTTTTGATGAATGGAAATGTCCAATATTTTTGGAACTGGCGTGCTGTAGCTTTGCACTTGGTTAAGATCCAAAGGTATGGAAGCATTAGTTAGAATAATGTATGCCCTTATAATGGGCAATATCACAAGACATATTGTAATTAAAATCCTTAGGTTTATAATATGACAAACATGCTGTTGATGAGATAAAGATGTATTTCTTTTTCCACAGTGGTATGCAGAAATTATAGCTAAGAGAGCTAATACTGGTATCTGGAAATTAAGAAATAAATTTCATATGTGAATAGCATTAATTTGTTGCTTTTTACATATAATACGAGATTAAATTCTATCACACTTTACCTGTAGACAAAGCTGCTGAAAACATACACTCAAATCATCCGTTTCAGGATTCCATGGATTAATATCTCCATGTCCACATAGCTCAGTCCAATTCCACTTCCATCTCTCTACATCAACTGACCAGTTATCTGCCATGCTGTAATATTATAATTATAATTAACACATATAATAAAGAAAACTTCATATTTAATAGGTTAACAAATATTGTTAAGCAATTGAATTAAATCGAAACTTATATGATAGAGATATGTAAACATTTAATACTATTGTACCATGTAATAATACTATATTGTTATCGTTATAGACATTTATTAAAATATAAAGAAAAATTTTATCAAAATATATCAAAAGATATATTGAAAATGTATATCAAACGAAGCAAAAAGAACAAGAAATATAAATAATAAAGTATGTTTTGTTTAAAGAAATTTGTATGCTCTTCAATCCATTAAATGCTATTTTACAATATTTCGTTAATTAATTAATATATGTTAATTTATAGTATATTAAACTCCTAATACGCAAAACTGTAAAACGATACCAATGACTTGATGATAATCAATTATAAGAACAGATAAGACTGACTTAAATGCAACATGAGTAAACAATAGATTAGCATAACAGGTTCAGAAAACGTACTTGTGTCGGTCGAGGAATTTTTTTTTTCTATAAATATTGAAACACACAACAATCAATATTTTCCCCGTATTTATCGTTTTCTTCCCGCTTGTATTACATTTTGTCGCTGCGTTCTCATAACGGCGACCACTCGTAGGTTATGTTTTCCTTGGTAATGACGCATGACGACACAAGCTGGATGCACTGGATGACGAATGTCCAAGGAATTTTTACAGACTGTTTGAGATAAAACTAATCGTACATACTAAGAATCGCATATCTATCTCATTTATCACCATTCACCGGTAATAAAAATAATACACAAACGCAACAAACATAATTCCGTAAGAAAATCGTCTTGTAGATGTGAGGACGAAGAGAGATGTATTCTTCGTGTGCGCTCTAGTCTATGCTAGGTTAGTCTCACACATCGTACTAACTATACTAATCACTGATTCGTCAGTGTAGGCAAATCGCAATTGCATAGTTTTATTTTCCACATTTGACCTGAATTTCTGATGAACAAAATTGAAGAACCAAGCACCATGCAGGAAAATATGACTTTAGGGGCAAAAGGAGATCCTCTGCTAGTTGAGAATACGAATAAGAACAATGAACAAAGCATGGACTGTCCCATGTTAGACTTGGAAAAAAAAACCCTTGAAAAGGAGCTTTTGGACCATGTGGCTAATAGCAAAGCAACTTTCAAGAGTCAACAAAAAGAAGAACCTGAATTAACGTTTGAGGAGAAGCTTGCTATAGTTAGGAAGTTGTTGGAAAAGAGTCACTGTTTATTTCTGTCTAAATTTGGACAATATATGAAGGTGGAGCACTTGGAATATTTCAACAAAAGTCAGGATTATGAGACAATCTATCATGTAAACAGATTGCAGAGGTACTTCAATAATTCTACACGGCATATTGACATCAGAAACAGAAGATATGAAGCTCTCAAGACATTAATAGAAAAGGGAGAATACTTCAGCGAATGTGAAATGATGAAGAGAAATCCACTGTTGTATGAACACTTAGTAGGACAATACTTGACAGATGAGGAAAAGAAGGCTAGAGACAGTATTGACACAAAGAGTATAAATTATGTGGATATACTTATGGAAACCGTTGAAAGAAATAAATTAGAAAATCGTTTAAAATTTCAACAAAAGGAAGAAGACGAAATACGAGAGGAGAATGATTCAGATGAAGATTATGATAATGATGATAACAATGATAATACCACAAACAGCATTATATCCAAGACAAACTTTGAGAAACAGAATTATCAGCATTGGGGTGAAAAGTTAAATGAAGCACAAAAAGAGAGAGATAAGAACCAAAAATTACAAAGCAATAAAATATTTAAAATATCAAGCCAAGAAATAAAGTTACTTAGACAAGAATTTGTTACAAACATGTATCAGAGTTTCCTGGATGGTAAAGATACAGACTTTGATTATAGGTATATGTTGTGCTAATCAATAAATATAACATAAAAAGTCTATAAAATATATATAGTTGTGGATGTTTTTAGAATATTTTAATACTTTATAATTAACATTATTTTTATAATAAATTTTTACAATTTACAAGTACAGTAAAATATACACACAAATATAACAGATAAAGTTTACAATGTTATGTTTTATAATAGGTATTTACAGATATAAAAGATTTCTTTACGTAGTTTGCAGAATAGGATATGTATAGATATAAATTCACATCAAACTATTTGAACATTAAAGTCCATTTTGACCAAAAACAAAATTTTTCTTAATTAAATTTCTATAAAACCGTTATGTGACTACACAACAATTAGGAAATAAGGATCCTAAATAGTCAAGCTAGGTTTCTTTAGTACTGAAATAATTTCGTGTGAATTTATATACTACATTAATTAAATTTATTCTCATCGATATAATCTTGAATTATAATTAAAAATTAAATATAAAAATAGACTCTCGAAAATTTCAAATAAACAGAATACAAAGGCTAATGATAATATTTATCTTGCATCAAATAGTTTTTGGAATAAACAGAATTAAAAATATTTGTCCCATTCGTTATTTTATAATTTTTAATTAAAAATAATAAATACATTTTTTAGATATTTAAATATAACAGTCGCATTAATATTATTATTCTTTTATTATTTGTTTTCAGTACTGTAGATGATAATGAAGCTTATGATAATGTTGACTTGAGAAATCAAGATGAAGAAGAAAAGTATTTTGACTCTGAAGCTCCTGAAACTGTTCTTCCATGTAATGAGTGCAATGATCAAAACGAATCTGAAGATGAGTTGGATATATATATGAAATCGCTGAAGGTTAAATAATATTTTACAGTTTTACACAATTGCCCTGATAATTGTTGGCATTGATTCACAGAAAGGTTATTTATTCACTAGGAGCGGATTCCTACAAATCCACATTCTTTGGATAATTAGATATACCCCTGTGTACATTGGATTACAATAAATATATATTCGTATTTAACAAAAAGTCTAGTTGTGTATATTTAGTGTAACACTGTTTTCCTCCTTTCTTACTCCATTTTATTGTACTTATAAAAAAGTTTATATAATTATATGTATATTATATATACATAAATATAAATAATTTATAAAGGTTATCATCAAGCTTTTGTTTCTCGTTTTTTATGTTTCATCTAATACATTTATTCAATTTTTCATAAATTTTGCTTTTATTTTTATTCAAGTTCTTTTAGTGTATGTAAATTTATAAAATAAGTATGTGGCAACGATAAAAGAAAAACATTTAATATGCCGATGTGAGTGATTACTCTATATATCTGATTTATGATGTTCTTCCAGAGAGAAGGTTGAGAGCGGCCATGCCCGGGATTTAGCTGTACTTTATTTTGAAGCGTCTCTATGTCCACAAAACGTGGACATTGAACTATGTAGCCTATGTCCACGATCGTGTCGGTAATGTCCACGATTTTTGGTTCGAATATTCCCAATGTAGATGATTTTTTAAAAAATGGCTCTGAGGTTCCAAAATTGGAACTAAAAGAGTCAAGTGACCAGTAGTGGGGATATTCAAACTTAAACACGCATATCAATATGAATATAACCGGTTATACTAGTAAGTTCCTGAGCGATGTGTTAACTAATGTTATTAACATTATTTAAGTTTGCATTATTTGAGATAGAGAAATAAACCGTTTCTCAATCTAAAATAATGCAATCTTAAATAATGTTAATAACATTATAGTTAACACAATGCTCAGAAACTCTCTTAACACAATTTATATTTAGATCAATATAAAGGAGTTGTCGAATATATTTTTAAAAATTCTTTTATTTTTATTAATAATTATATAATAAATACATACATTTTATACATTTTTCAAATATTACTATAAAAGTTACAATTAGAGTTTTCGCTAACTTTATATTATTTTTCTCTTACTAAAAATATAATGCAACACATTTTCCCGTCCCACTTTACAGACTGCGGACTGTCGGATATATAAATATTGAATACCCGGTGTGGTTAAAAAATGTGATGCATATCATTTTCATGATCCACAGCATCATACACACAACCAATCGCACTTAACAATGTACTATAATATTTACAACATGTGCATTAATAACATGTATATAAATGTAAACGGATACAACTTACAACATAAATCTATATATGTATAAAAAATTGAACAAAATATAATATGCCGTACGTATATCATAATAAAATATTAATATATAAACTTTTATAAACAATTAAAATATTTTCGAAAAGAGGTTATTGGCAAAGCAAAACAAGAGGAGCAACTGCAGAATAAATACTAATAAAACAAGGTGGGAAGGATCAATTAAAAACACCCTTACCAAAACAGTTGTAATACACCCTCTTGGATTTCTATTATTTGGTCGCCTCTTCCATTTCCGAGATTCACCAAATAACTACTACTGATATAACTTGACCAATCTTTGATTTTACACCTACGACACCACAATAAACGTAGCGCAAAACTCTCTTCGAAAAAATCGTTTTAATGGTTCAGAAATCATTTTATGACTCGATTGCAGCTTCTCCATATGGTACGTGTGATAGACGATGCAGAATCAGCCAAGTAGCAACTGCCTGTGCCTACGATCGACGCGACGGATGCGGGAACGACAGCGAAATCGTTGCGAATACAGCCGGATCCTCGACTCTC